ACACACACACACACACACACTGCGCACATGGGAAAAGTTTCCGTTGGTTCCAATCTGCAACCACAACTCTAGATTCCAACATCAACCGTTAAAAGACCCTTCTGAACCAAAGTTTCTCTACTGCACACGATCATCCATCGTGTCATTTGGGCTCGTGATCATCCTTAAGTGTTCGTTCATTCATTCATTCATTCATTTTACGTGAGAATGGCAGGTGAGATCATTCAAAAAACAAAAAATTAAAAAAGGAGAAAGCTACAATTTCAAAGAACAAAAGAAATAAATGGCTACTGGTAATAAATAGCTTAAAATATTAATATGTTTTTTGGCAAATTTTGCAGAGTGTCCAGCTCTCCACAGGCTGAGATAATCTACCACCAACAATCCTTACTGGAGGACTTCTTTCTAATGGTATCAAAAACGGAACAGAGGTATGGATTATTATATTACGAGCAGGCTGCTGTTACCAGAAGCAACAGGAGTGCATCCTGTCTGCTCTGAAGACATCACACTGCCCTGTTGCTTCCTGTGTGTGAACGTGTGTGTCTATTTCTGGACATGAGAGATGTCTGAACAAATGAACAAAAGAAAACAAGACGTACCCTCAAGAGAACCGGAGCAGCTGGGTCTAATCCAGAGACGAGCCCCTGACCGGCCAACACATCATAAAAATCCAACACACGCCCCCACACACACACACGTTCACATAAGACATAAATAACAGCTCAACTGTATGAGTGCATCAGAATATTACAGCTAAAGGGCCCCACAGCAGCAGCACCAGGAGGTACAAACTTTTACATTGATCCTGGTAAAAAAAAAAAACACACACACAAACTAGTTACTCAAACGGTCTCTGAGTGACTTACCCTTCTTTCCACGCTTGTCTGCCCGTGCGCAGTCCTTCATTCCAGCCGGGCGAGTGTGTTCCTCCAAGTTGTTTCGTCTTAAGATGGAGGCAGAAACTCTCCAAGCACAATTCCTTTGCTCTGAGTTCATGTTACTCGGAGTCCACCGGGTCGGCTCTGCTCCTCGCCAGCTGATTTCTGCACAGGCTGCGAACACGGCCGCATTGATAAACAACCCTGTGGGAGTGGGAGAGAGCAGTAAGTGCAACACACACTCCCACGCACGCACGCACACGCACACACAGGTGTATGCTGACTGCTAGCGAAGACAAACAGAGAGGCAGAGACAGCTCAGAGCAGCTCAGTATGAAGCGGCTCCTTTGCCGGTGGTTCTCCTTATGTGGGACTCCAGCCTCCCTGCTCCTCCTCCTCCACCTCTCCTCCCTCTCTCCCCAACTGCTCCAGGACAGAATGGAGAAGGACTCCGACCGCTCTAGGGAATAAGACCTGTAACCAGACCTTCAGCTCTTCCTTACCAATACTTTTGTACACACTACTATGTAGACTAGAAGTGAAACTGAATCTGTGATGCTCTACAAGTGGGTCTAGAAGTTGCTCAACTTGTTTAAAAGGATCAGATGTTGCTCTCAAAAGAGATTGTTTGCTTGAGCATACAACGCTCATTTTGAACAGAGCTATCACGATATGCTGAAATGCAAAATGCAGTAAACAGCTGCGGTGATTTAACTAATGCGGTACTCTCCCACCAGAAGGATTCTTTAAGCGACGTTGAGGAACAATGCGACAGTGATAAGGAGCGTAACCAGCAGGCGAGCGAGGGGGCCCATCACGACGGTGTTGAAATTTCTGTTTTATAAAAAGAGGCAAGGGGGCCCACGAAGGCTTTTGGAAACATTACTCAATGCCTCCCCTGGGCAGAGGCCGGCCTCAAACGGATTCCGCTAACTCTCACTTACTGAAATACTCTGAAAGACCAAACACTGCTCACAGGGGTCAGAGCAGAGCTGGAATCTTTTTCACTAAATCGAAAAAGTAAATTATATATTTGTATTAAATTAGTTCAGCCTGTAAATCGGGTCAAAACATGCCTCTTAATAAGTGGAGCTATTTGAGCCAAACTATCAGACAGACGTCTCGATGCTGCAGTGCGTTCACGTCTCTCTGAAGACAGTTAAGGATCCCGAGGACACGCAGTGGCCTCACTAACTCGTGACAGCGGAGTCAAACCGTATTAGTGGTCAGGATGAGTGGCTCCGTTGTTACAACGTCTAAATCCGTCGTCATACAAAAAAGAAAACAACTTTGGTTTGAAATAATCCGAGCCATCCCGAGACATATTTATATATTTGACTGCTACTAAAGCAAGTAGCCCTGTCACTTTTAAAAAAAAAACATTTTGAATGAATGAGAACAATTACTTAAATTTAGCTAAAGTATCTTAATCCTGCATTATTTTTATTTTATTAATTTTTGCATTAATTGACATTCATTAAATGTCAACATTTTCATGTTGAAATAAGTGCAAAAACACATACAAAATAATTTACATAAAAACACAACACTAATCAATATATGTTTTTCTTAACAAAAGGATCCAATTATTATTCCACTTTACGATTAAATTCTACTGTTGTCTGCTGTGTCTACTGTACTGATTCTCATTGATAAGCAGTTTTCAGCCATAAAAGCTGTGATAAATAAACTGTGCAGTGGGAGACAAAGTAAGCACCGAGGGAGCGTCTACCAACTAAAGAGCCAGGTGTTTCCCACAGGAGATGGTTCAAAGCCAAGAGGAAGAGTGAATATTTCATTCAGAGTGAATGCCGAGTTTTGTGTTGTGTGTGAATAGAATATTTACAACCACCATCAACTATTGGCTGAAACATGTGCTAGTTGTTATTAAGGCTTGTTGTGCTGCTGCCAAGTGGCCAAAAACGAGTCACTGCAGGGGAAAGTAATAATGTTCTGTCATGTCAGAACACATCAGATAGTCATCGGTTTTTATCTATTCTAGAGGGTACTGCGCCGGCTCAGAGGACCAGGTTCCTCCTGCTCCGTTTGCTTTTACAAGGGTTTGTTTCATTTTAAGCACAACATTTCTATAGTATATATTTGCATTGTTGTGCTTCGATAAACAGAAAACTAGAAACGGTAAATGGGGAATTATGACAAATTTGTCAAATCATTTTTTGAGAAATGTTTGTTGTTGTTGAAAATTAACTAAACAATTTAGGATAACTTCCCTCTATTCAATTTAAAATACCGGTAACAGTAACTCACTACAAATATTCCATGTAGAAAAGACGATTGTCCAGTTTGTAAAATCACCAGCTCGGCTGCTCCTTTTTCTCACACTTTCTAACTTTCATGGTTCCTGAACGCTGGAAACAGAAACCCAATCCCAATAAAGGAGTTCAATTACAATAAAAAAAAAGAAAACCTACCTGCTGCCTGCAGAGGTTTTGTTTTTTGCTGCCACCGCCCTTTGACCCCTGCAGGGAAATGCACTTATGAAGTGTAAACCAACATAAACAGTTAGCATCAAGCCAACTTATTTTACACATACTATTTAGAGGAGTGCATGCACATGTTTTACAAGATATGTTTAATACAAAATAACTTTCATTGATGCGATTATATTTGGTAAGTGACAATCAGTCATTGGGTTTTGTTAGCAGGTTGTTATGTGTCTGTTCTCAAAACAATCATGCACACTCACTTAACCAATTTAAAAAAAGAAAATCAGATTAGATTAACAAATAATTTTGTTTGTTGATTTTTTTTTTACCCCTCTTAAAATCATATTATTACTGGTGACCTCTGAAAAAAAGAATAAAGAACTTCTTGAATTTACTGTATATGACAAACATAAAAAAGGTTTATAAATTGATGGCTTCGCTCACGTGTGTCTGTGGAGGTAAAGGATCGATTCTGTTATGGCAAACAGCACCATCTAGTGGGGTTCACAATGTCTGTTTGTGAGTGAGACAAGTTTATTATTTATCCTTTCTTTTCATACCATTTAGAAATGGTTGTGCAGTGCAGAATTTACGGTTTGGAACAATTCAGTGCACTAAAGGTTTCTTAATCATTTCTGAAAGGAATTAACACTTTAAAGTATTCAAGACAGACTGTCGTATTTTAGGTCAATTTAGTTAAACTTTTTTGAACCTTCAATGTATAGTTATTTCAGGAGAGCTGTGAGTGGCATAAAATGTGGCTGTACGTTAGATTATAAATTAAATGTATTGATAAAGTGAAATTAGTCATTTGTTTGTTGCTACCATTCTGCCAACTTTAAGCGTAAAAAAGGGAGATTTGCCACATTAAAACATGTCAAATATCACACTATGTAATTAATGTGGTTATCTGAAATCTTTAAATCACAATCAGCGATTTCTAAAGGATTAAATTTTTGTTGACATCAGCTGGGAAACAGCTTAATTTAAGTTATATTTTAAAAAACAAAATACAGCAAGAAGCACTCACCAGTCAGAGTAGGAAAATCAAGAAAGATGCCATAAAAAACGTTTAAGTTTTCACATATTATCGAACTATGCTTTTTTTAACCACTATATTTAATTACACTGCAGTTAGCAGCACGAGCACTTCTCATGCTAAGAGTGCGAGGCTAAGTGTTAGCATACAGAACCCTGTATGCTAACACTTAGCTTTACTTTACACGTGTTTCAAATACCTCGAAATTAACGATAACAACATCGAAATACGTTTACAGGAAACCCTGCCGGTGGGTAAAGTTAACCTTAGCTACTAATTAATTGAATGCTGACGCGTCCACAGATAACGATGACATTTCAGCAGCTACAAACACACATTAAGTTACTTGAGAGAACATAAAGCTTCACCCGAGAGAGCTGAAATGAGCCAAATGAAACACGCGGGATTCACCACGACCCTTAATCGAAGGCCGGACAGACCCAGCGGTCATTTTGCAAATGTGAGAAATAAATACAGGTGTATTTGTTGAAAATGGATGAATAGTGCTGGCTGCCTTTCCCTTAGTGGACTTGGCATATATTAATAAGATACTTTTATTTTTTTTCCAGTGTGACATTTTTTATTTTCCCTGAGCATTTTATGAGTCCGAATGTCCGCACAGAGAAACGTCTATTACTTTGTCCTTCGTTTATTTATTCAACACTGCTCTTCAGCATGTGACAGATATAGAAACTGGTGCTCACTACAGTACAAAGTTATAGTCAATCAAACATATTGGTTAGTATGTTTCTGTCATCCACATCCACTGCCATTGACACTTCAAGACGGACTGGTGACCTAAACGAGACGAAATGTGGGGCCCAATTCAAATGTAAGCTGAGCATGTTGTGTAAATGTTATTGTTATTCAGAGCAACCTTAATTCCCATATGTTTTTACACAATACATGTTACTACCTGATATTTATAGGCCTTCATAACTCCACAACCTGGCTTTATTCAGTATCACTAGGATGTTTGAGTCGCACAACAAATAATTGGTATGGACAGTAAGCACTTAAATCATCTGACGTAACCAAAGAAATAAAATGAACCAAATATTTGAAAAGCAGTGTGGTTATCAGGCTTAAAGAATCTTAGGCTCATGGTGAAGAACGCACGTTTTAGTCAATGCACCCAACAGCAGTCTGCATTTAATTATATTAATTTGTTCAAGTCATATTTACTTTGTTGCTTATATGGTGGCAAGCAAAACTCAATTAAAGGAAGATTAAAACAATTCATGTGTGCACATTCATTTTAACTTAGGAGAATCACCTAATGGTATGACATTTACAGGAGTGAAACAGGCATCGTAAACTACCCACCTCAGCACCAGAAACAATGATCTGTTCTGATTGTCAACATTTCTTTTGTGCTTTTTTTGCAGGAGGCTCGTAGCTACAAGTTAAATAGTAATTTTTTTGACACATGTAAAAAATATTTCTAATAAGTCTTTCTCATCTATTTCTTATCACAGTGTGTGAAAAGGAAGCGGTTCACAAACACTTCAACGCGGCCGCCTGAGGAGGAGGAGCCACGGACAGTTGACAGCTTCTTGTGGCATAAAACGTGACTCATCATCAACCATCAAGAAGTGTCCACATATCCTGCGGCCCCTCTACTTTTTGGGCAAAGAAGTGGAACATTGAGGGAAACGCGACTGCCGCCCCATTTGTAGCTCATTTTTGCTGTCATCTCAACACAAACTGTTTCTCATTCCTGAGCAGTGCATCTGAATACATTTGCAACATTTTTTTGCACGATGTCTTTGACGGAAGCCAGGCGTGTTTTTTTGTGTGTTTCTTCTTATTTTTGGTAGTTGGGCTGAATCTATAGCAGAAGGGTGGGTTAAAAATAAATATTTTTTCAGCAGTTCCAGTGCCAAAAGATAGAGAGCCAGCCAGCCAATCCTTCAGTCTTGCATTAGCATTTCCCTCCAGTTGAAACTGTGATTGGGTCCATGTGTCAGAGGCAGGATGGGTGGGTCGACCAGCTGCCACACCCCGGTCTCTCCCATTTCTTCACAAGCACAGAAGCCCAAGTAAGGAATCTGCAACAAGACAAGATGTTCATGTTAAAGAAATTGATGTGGAGCTGGAGGAGGAGGAGGAAGGTGAAACCGCAGCAGTACGGACGGACCTTTCGGACCACTTGAACAAAGTCCTTGGCGCTTTGGGGGCTGAGGCCTTGTATTTGGCGAGTGCAAGCCTCCAAGGAGGAAGCGTGGGCCACAATCAGCACCGTGTTTCCTGTGTGAAAGAGGTACAGAGAACACGGAACCACATTCCACCAATACCATTAGCTCTCTATACTGTCTATCGACACGCAGTAGTCGATAATAGGCAGCTTGAAAGGATCCTTCATCCATCTGCTTTCACATAGAGATCAGGAAGTCGTCCGAATGAAACATTTTTGATTTCAGATGCAAAGGAAGCTGAAAACAATGGGCTCGTTGTGTGTAAAGTCAGGTATATGTTCTTTGTGTGAAGCAGGATCCTGATCCATGCAGATTTGTATTATTGGTTAGTTTTGGGTGTACTGTATAGCCACGAGAGATTCGATTTAGAGCAGGAAAACATCAGTTAACTGAAGAAGCATTCAAATGTAATAATCCCCAAAAAAGTTTTCATTTGAAAATCTATTTAAAACACCCAGTTACCCAAGTTTTTGCTCTCCACCAGGATCTCTCTGGTTACTTGGAAGCTCCGGCTGATGTAGTTGTCGTAAGTCTCTGAGATCGCCAGTTTACTTATAGGAAAATGAGGTCTGGGGACAAAATATTAGATAGAAAAGCTCAAAATAAATTGGAGCATCACATGTGCAAGCGTGTAGATACTATAGCACCGGGGATGCTGCGTACCTGTAAGTTGTGTCCACACTCATGTTAGCGGCAGCCAGCTCAGCTGGGGGGATCCAGACAGGTAAACATGTACCTGAAACCCACTTGGTCCATTCAAACAATCCAGGCTCCACACGGATCTTTGTCTTTCCCTCCAGCTGCAGACCTGACAAGAGTGAAACAGAAGAAGATATCTCCACATCCATTTTGTCATTTGTCTATATACATCTTCACATGAAGACCTTCGGTTAAAACTATTCATTGTCATATATGTTTGGTTACCGAATGATGCCTCCCGGTACTGCAGAGATATCTTGATACAACCAGACTGAGGGTTTACGATCCAAAACCAACACTAATAAGGGTCAAATACCATCATGCACTGGCAACCTTTTGTAATGTATGCATCTGTAAAACGTGGCAGCTGAAGAACCTGAATTTACTTTGTGCAACGTGTCTGTTGTGCCAAGGTCCTACCCTGCAGGATGTGCTGAGCAGTCTGCACGCAGCGTAGAGAAGGAGAGCAGTAAACAAAGTCAACTCTTGTGTTGCTTTCGGACAGGGCTTCGCCTGAAGTGGACCAAAACACAGTATCATACCATTTTAATCGTTGTGTAAATACTATCTCCACTGTATTACAATGTGTTGTGATAATCCTTAAAAACCTAAATCCTAAAGTGATTACTGTATTTTTTTAACAACATAAAAATGTACTGACCTACTAGACGGGCTTGGGTGGAGCCAAACACAGTAATTGGACAATCCTTGTCATAATCCCGGTGACCTCCGCTTCTAGCTGGCAGGCTGGATGGCATGTTGAGATTAGAGCGAATGTATCGGCCTACGCAAAAATAAATAAAGATCTTACAGACGTTGGGAAATACTACACATAGAAAGTGTCCAATGTAAGCTTATAGTCTTACAAAAAAGTGCCATTAATCTCTCATCCATGCAAACCTTTAGCGTCGAAGCACTGAGTGATCCAGTGCTTCCCAAACACCACATCCATCCTCTCCCCATGGCGACACACAAACAGCCTCATCTTGGACGGGGACGACTGACTGGTTGGCCCCGGCACCTGAGGCAGAGATGAGCATTACAGAGACCGTCCCAATATGAAATCGTAAGCTACAGCTGGAAGCAGCAAGGCTCTCTTCACTTCTGCATGCAGCCTAATGACACATTTGTTTTTCTGCAGCCAACGGAAAAAAAAAAAACCCTGTACCTGCATAGGAGGACACTGGCCAGCGTGGCCCGGAGAAGCCGTAAAAGTGTCCAGCAGACTGTCGCCCAGCTGCCCATCAAATAAGGACCCAGCCACGGTGCTGCCGTAGTTAGACGGAGAGGTGCAGGTGGTCATCGAGTGAGACCTGAGGATCGGTACACGCACAGAGACTTTGGTCACGTAACACTTTAAATACGACCCCGTCACGGCACGGACTAAGACAGACAAGGAGATGGACACACAGCAAACTCCCGTAGACACACAGCATACATTATGTGAGCTCGGAGAAATGCACGAAGGAGCGAAAGTAGGGCACAGTTCAAAGTCAGGGAGTAACAGTGGATTAACAAGTATCGAGAAGAATGAAGAGGAAGGAAGGAGGGAACAGGGAGTGTAGTGATGTGGGCGTCGACCAGTCAAAGGGCTGAGCAGGCCAAGAAGATGTTTCATTATCTTTTCTTTCCCAAAAATCTTCCCATTCAGCTTGAAAACATTCCCGCATTTGTGTACTTTTGTCTTTAAACTGAAAACCTCCCAGTACGACCCCTAGATCATCATGAGTTAGTATTTTGCTTTCATCATCACATGGGGATGGACACCTCCTTACCCGTGGAGGACCCAGGTGTCGGACTCGTCGGCGCGGTTGACGTAGTTCTCGGGCAGCAGCCCCGACAACCCGGTGGCCAGCGACGTGCCGTACACCCAGCCCTCGCTGGCACTGCTCTGCTCCGCGGGGGCCATGAAGATGAAGTCTCCCGGCATCAGCTCCAGCTCGTCCTCATTCTGAGGCACATACGGGTACATGACTTGCAGTGTCTGCAAGGGGGGTGGGGGTAGGGGGGGGGGGGGGGGGGGGCAGGCAGATGGTCAACAGCCATTAGACAAAAGGCAGTGTGGCATTGAAAGGTCAGATCCTGAAAATTGAGATAGTGATTGGAACATTTCCTTCCCGTAATGTCAAAAATGTCAAACTGAGAGAAAGCGGTCATTTGGAAAGTAAACAAACCTCGTGATTAGCGAACCGAATATCGCGAGACAAGAGCACAGCCAGCCAGTCGCAGCCTGACGACACATCCACCGATTTGGCCAACTTCTCCAGGGTTGGGAGGTGACTGGTTTGGAAGTGGTATGCCAAAGTGACATGAAGTTGTTTCTTATGAGGCTCAACATGGACATCTGGACAAAACGAGAAATGTGCACCAATTCATATTTAGTTGTAAAATGCAAACGTATCGTCTGCCGATACTGCAGCTCATTCCCAAAATATGCTTATACTGCTCACAAATATCAATATCGGAAATCTTAAGCAGGTTTGGCAACAATAACCATGTAAACAGAGTTCCATTCAAAGGGACCAAAGGGGGTCTCGAACCTGCTTTGGCTGTTGCTTCGGTGGCAAAATCAGACGCGAAACTCTTCAGCACCTCTGCCATCTGCTCCTCCACGAAGAGGCCAATAAAGGTGGAGGAGGTGTAGAGCTCCAGCGGGAGGGGCATGGGGATACGACCCTTCCACTTGGCCACGGTGGTCACGAGCGCCTCGGTCAGCGCCTCGACCTTGTCGTCGGCGCACTGAGGGCAGAGAGAAGCAGAAACAAAAAGGTCATCGGCTGCATAACGGCAAAAAGAAAAACGCCGAGCGCCGACGCACGCAGACACTGACCATGAAGAACAGGCAGAGGGTGATGTGGGGGAAGATGTTGTGCGCCTTGTTCTTGCCACAGGAGACGCGGGACTGCTGCCAGAAGTGCGAGAGCTGCTGGAGCAACGGGCCGCTGGGCCGCAGATACAACACGTACTCTCTGGGCAGAGGGTCGTCCAAGAACGGGTCGTCCACGTGGGAGAAGAGCCTGGAGCGGCACACAGGGAGACCCCAAAGTGGTGAGCGATAGGTGGACCCCAGGAGTGGGGGGGCGACACAGTTGCAATTGCACAATGACGCACTTCACTGGGTCAGGGGATGTTTGATTTACCGAGTCCGGGTTTCTGTTTGCATTTGCACCGGACATCAATAAGTGTGGAACTATAAAGTGTGTGTCGCTCTCACCAGTCACAAGCTGCCTGGACATTTTTCCCTCCTGTCGAAACCAGAGCTTTCAAGCTGCAAACAGAGAGAGAGAGAGAGAGAGATCGTCACAAAATCAATAGTTTCTCTTCCGGGCCGTGCTTATTAGGAGGAGACTGCTGTGCTCCCTCGTGACAACGAACAAAAGCGCAAACATCCCGAGAGAGCGGCTGAGTTATAATCTAGGACAGGACCTCATTTTTCATGCCAGAGTTCCATGAAATTAGCATTGATGCTGATTTGAAAAATATTCTCTGCAACAAATATGTCAAAGAATATCACAATTTGATTACGAGCAACTTCGGTAGAGGAGTGCTGCTCTATAGAGGACAGCGGGAATCCACTCTTCTTGTCTTGTTTGACGACTCAATTCCGCGGCAGCCGAATGTCAAAATATTAAGACACCATAGATATGAAAATGAGAAGAATACAACACTGCTTCGTCTTTTGGTGTAATGGACATTGACAAGGAAAGAAAAGCCCAGCTGCTTTATTCATCCGCGTCACTTCATAAACCATAACATCTGAAACAAGAGCTGATTGCCTGATTACTCTTGAGTGCTCAAAATCTAATTAGTGTCTTTTTATAAAAACCTGTGGTATTTTGGGGCGCCTCTGAAGGGATTCACTGATTCCAACAGCTTCCTTCAGTTTCCAGAGGAATAACTGGAGTATCTAGATGAGACTTTATTCAAAACATGTAAAGCCTTGTATGCAAGGATTAAGCACACATTAGCTAAATCTTCCACTTAATTTTGTAAAGTTGTGGCCACTGAGAGTAACTTCTACAGACAACAAACGGTCTGTTCTTTCATTTTAAAGCGTCTCGAAGTATAAATAAGTGAGAGAAAATCATACAGGAGCACCTCGCTTCAAAGATGTATTTTTTGATACCTTATCAACAAGTTCATTTCACTATTGAGCAACAGGATATGAAGCATTGAGTGACTGCACAATGTGTCCACAGCCTCAACGACATGCCGCGCAATCCCAGCTCCTTTTAGTCCTTGCTGCGTCGTGTGGAAACAAATCATGTCTTGTTTAAAAGGTTTAAACGTATTGCCCCTGTCCTACTAAAAAAAAACATGGAACAGAAACCATATTCAAATAAAACAAACAGGCGGAAAGTGCATGCTGTCCCTCTGCAGATGCATCTGGCTGGCCTTCATTGGCGGCGTGATAAAGACGTGTTGCCGGTTCTCTATGTGTGTCGACGTTGACGCCGTTCATCGCGTCCCTCTAGCTTTCGAATGTCGATGAGCTATTTTTACATTTGCCCCACTGAGAGGGTCCTAGATACGTTCACAGTCCCTGAACCCCCGGGGCGCGGCAGATGGCTCACAGAGAGCTTCTTCTGTAAACTGCTCATGCAAATAAATGCAGGCCGAGAATGAGTGACAGCGTAGATAAAAGTAGACAGAACTTGGATACAAGTCTCCTGTTTGCTCACTTTTGTCCGGCCTACAATTGCTAACCGACTCCAACAGCATTTTTCCTAAACTTACCTACAATATAAACCACTGTTGCATGTGGAAGGCTGAAGACAGACAGTGGTGTTATTCAGAGGTTCCACCTGGTGCTCAGTGGAGGAGGAAAAAGAAAGGGATTTTTCCCCAGAAAGCATGACGGGATTACAAGCAGATGTGACTGAGACGTCACAAAATCCAGTCCAGGCTAGAATATTGGATTGCTTCCTTCTAATCTCTGTTATTTTATGAGAGGGCACTCTTGAGAAATAAAATAATAGAAAATGGTCAGACAGAAGTTTACTTGAATTTAAATTGGCGTTTGGGTTGTCAAAATGACTGGAGACCCTGTTCCAGGCATAAATAATAATACTTTATCAAACGGGAGATAAAGTGTGACGTTGCTTGCGATTCTTTACTCATTGATTCGAAATGCAATACAGGAGAGTGGAGGGTTTAGCTTCTGTAAGTAGATTATATGGCTTATTGTAGTGGTAAGAGCACTTTAAGAGAGTCCACGTCATGACCAAGACAAGTGAGCATTGACCAAGATTTTGAGGGGTTAAAATCAGATCATGACCAATGTAGGGCAAGACCAAGACCCCTCTGCATGGACATGTGTGCATCTGTGCGTGAGCCCTGTTGTTGTAGTCTTAAAATAAACCAGGTTTAGGTTTTTGTCTGCTCGACTCCAGGAAGATAAAATGGGGTTAGAGACCTTTGAAATGTGGCCACCAATTTTCACTTGCAGAGAAACCGGTGAAAGATTGTTATGCTTTTAAATTGTTCCTGTCAACCTGTTAACTGTGGCTTTGCATGGCTGTTGCTGCAGCCTTAGAGTTGTCTGTTACTCATATGGTTAGAAAGAGAGAGTTTGTGTGAACGATTTGGGAGGCAGTAAACACAGCTACCTAGCAATTTAATCACACAGGAGACCTGTGGCCTTCACAGACAGTCAGACGAAATTGTTTTTGGAAAGACACCTCAGCCATTCATTGTTCCACCAACAATAATGAACTCATGACTCATAAAAATGTTAAACACATAAAAGAAACAGCTGTGTGTATTTGTTGTCTTTTTACCCTGTCAAGAATAACATCTGTTTGGATGTTGGATGTTGGATTACTCTTCTCTAGGCAAAAGAAAGCAAGAGAATTGACATGTGCGACAGCTTCGGGGAGCAGTTCCACAGGCGCCATCTCTCTCCTATGGGCCATCCGGTCCATGTTTCCCCCCCCCCCCCCCCCAGTCTTGTATACAACATCTGCCATTTGACACTTCAAAAAATTATCTTTATTAGTTCTTATTTGGTTTTTTAACTGAGTATTCATGTTCCACAATTGTTGAGACTCTCCTCGATCCCTGCAGCGAACCCGCAGGCCTCTTCTTTGCTCTTAGCAAGACAGAACCGAGCGAGTTATTTATAAACTGTATTTCCTGTTTGCAGCGAGACAAAGATAATAAAAAGAGGTTTGACAGTGCTAGGGCGAGAAGTCACTCTGGATTTGGCTTCACGTCAGCTGGACTTTGAATGAATTACCTTGTCAGGGGCTTTCATCTCTTTTGCACATTCACCATTTTTTAAAGTGTTTTCAGTTCCTGTTTCCACATCTTAGTCAACCAGAGATAAAATGTGCTTGATGCTTTTTATGTTTTTTCATGTATGTAAACATCATTTTGAATGTTTATTACGGCTGACCTTCTTTCAGGCTGCTAGAGAAAGTTATCACTTTAAATTGAGCAGCATGAAAACGCCTAATAGTCTCACATGAGCACTTCGTATTCCTGTAAAACTTTGTGTTTCAACTTTACTGTGGTAAGAATGACGAATACATTGCAACAGCTAAGTATAAGCCAGGAAGGAAAAAACAGAAACCAGAAAAAAGAAGCCAAAAGAAACAAGCATCTAGAACTGACGCTAACAAAACCATGTCACCCTGCTTGAACATACACACATCTACATATTCCCACAGGCCCCTCCTTGACGCGGCGCTATGGGCGGGCGAACACTTCCTGTTTACGAGCCGACAGCGAACACTCACCACTAACCACTTATCGCTCAAACAGCGCCGAGACTGCACCCTAAGAAGAGCTCCGTCAGCAAGGGGAAAACCTGCTTCCCTACGTGGCGTTTGGCCTGAAGTGGGCCCGGTGGTGAGCCGCCACCAGACGTCACGGCCTTCCTCCCCCTTTTCAACAGCCCATGGCTTTGCAGCAGATCTGTTCGGGGGGGTGTGCGTAAAGGACACAAAGACCGGGGGGATGGGGGGGGGGATGTGCCAAGTTGTAATGTTTTAAAACAGAGTCATGGCGGTAAAGCAACATTCACTGACTCACGTTATAACGGGAAACGGCACAGCGTTGGTAGTTGGGACACTTTTGTAATCAACACTAAATTAACATATTTTAGAGCACATATGTTTGGCACACCTTGTTCTGTGCTGGCAAAAGTACATTTAAATTGTATTGTAGTCTATATTTGAGCCTTTTCCTATTTTTCCACTTGTTCATGTTTCTAGGAAAAAAGGAAACATTCAAATCCGGAATTTGACTTTGGCCTTCTGTCATTTGCCACATTCACTGTGACTTCGGTTTAGTCACAGTAGATTTGTATACAAGAAGGAACTAGAAACAATACTGTCCCAAACAGCCTAACGTATCTGTCAAAAAGGCCCCGGGCGGCGCAGACACACTTCAGACTCCTGTGCAAGCTACTACCAAGAATCCAGACAGCTAAAACTGGCAACAACGGATGCAAAAAGTAAACTTTCCACCAATGTTTTTAATGTGAAATAACTAAAAACACTAGTGAAGTGAAGTGAGTTTAGTTTGAGCGCGGCAAATGGCAAATCAGCTTTTCCTTCTTACGCCGCTCTCTTACGTATTTGTGGCCATTGTTAATTAACAATACTTAAGTAAGAGTGAATATTAAAAAGAGTAGTTTGACAATTGGAAGATACGTGTATGTAAAACTGAACTGGCTAACAGCAGTGCAGCTCAAATACAGCTGATTAGCTGCCGTTAGCAAGGTCAGACCGGCTAGCTAGTTTCAGCAATGCGCTACACTGAGCTAACAGGCAGCTAGCAGTAACTTATTATTTTTGACGAACTCTCCTCAAGAAAGGAAACCGTATATAACGGTTATATATATATATATATATAAACTACTCCCGTTAACTGTGGGAGTGAGTGGTGGAAATGTTGTGAGAAATTTTGGTACCACAGCATTTTGTTCAGGGTCCCTTACAGCTCTTGGTGTGTGACACTCACTGTGACACTTTCTCATAAGCTGACAGAGCAATGTTTCAGCAGCACGTCTTCAACAAAGCTCGCCGTGTGCAGCCTTTTGTCTGAATCTTCTTTTCCTCTTCTCACTTCATCATTTCTGCAGAAGCGAGGCTGAGCAGTCCACAGGGGACAGGAGAGAGGAAGTAAGAGATTGACACCATTAATCGAACTGTGTGCGCGTTTGTGTGGCCAAAGATGCTTATGATAACATTCCTCGCCAGGTGTCCGCCAAACTTATCAGGTTGAACAAAAAACAAAGTAATGCTTCGGTTTCCGACGAAA